CATCTCAACTCTGAAATAGCCAGGGAGATTGAGCACTCAACCCATTTGCTCATACAAAGGTGACTTGAGATGCCTAAGGGTACCCAAAACATCTGCACAGGGCTGCCAGATCTGATAGAGGAGGTATGGGAAATTCATGTGCTCCTGCAGTGGTCACTGGAAGCTGAGCAGGAGACACTTGGGCATCTCAAATGATGCTATGCTGGTGTGCGAGCAGCTAAAGTGAGGCCCCAGGCAATCCAGGCAACCACACCTGGGAGCATTTCAGTGTACACAGAAACAGGCACCTGCATCCAATCAGCTGGGACAGTCCTCCTGACCTTATGGCTGTTTGGGAGCTGAGACACTCAGTTCACATTTAGGTAACAACCATCAGACATCTAAATTTAGGTGCCTCTATCTGTAGTTTACATCCTGTCCCTAAAGCGAGGTGACAGCCATCTCACCTTTCTGGTGTGATCACTGTGCCATTTGTACTCACACCTGCAGACCAGTGGTGCCTCTCCACCCTCCTTGGCACAGCATGAGAGCCACGGACACCATGTGTCACACTGCAGTGAGTCAGCAGCCCTTAGGCTCCTAAATCCCTTGAGATTGTTTAAATGTAGCCCCATTAGCCTTCTGAAAGTACAGGTCATGCTTGATGACTGACTCTCATGGATTTCTCAGGCATTCTAAAAAATGTCTGTGTTACTTTTATCTTTTCTCCTTTTTTTTCTCCTGATATAATTTGACATGGTCTATTCCATGAGGATTTTTGTGTCTGTGCAAATGTAGGGAAGTAGCTGGCAGTCCATAATGTGCTCTGACAAGATGCAAATAGGCTGGCAGTGACCAGTGACCTTTGAAATCTTCTTGGGATGCTTTCCTAAGACAAGTTGGATCCCACTGAGATGCTGCTAAGCTCCTCTCCATCTCTACTTATTTTCTCTTCTCATTTTTCATAACTGCTTCCTTCTTGGCTGGCTCACTAAGCCCAGGACCTGCTTTAAAGTTTAGATTAATTTCATGGAGAGAAACCTGGTATGTCCTTTCCTAAGAAACCTTGGGATTTTTCACTGAAATAAAAATTGGAAGGACATGAAGAAGTGTCTTAGGGCTCAGCATAGCCCACCCCACAGTGACTGCACTGAGTGTTGCCTTTCACTGGATGAGCCACTCATCCCTGCAGGTCCTCATGAATTTCTGTGGGGTGTGGAAGAGAGGACTCTCTCGTATGAGTTTTTTGGCAGTCTCCACATGTGAGATTCAAAAAGGATCAGCGCCCAGAAATAAGCCAGAAGCCCTAAAACAAACAAAATTAACAAGCAGATGAGACCCCTGTGGGAATTTAGACCTCAGCACACGCATGTGCAGCTGCTCTACCTCCACCCCTTGTTTTGGGGAGGAGCACAAACTTTGTGAGGTGAGGGCGATTTTTAGGTTTGGGGCTGTGCGTAGGGACTGAGCACTTCATGCGGATAGGCCTTGATGTCAATTCCTTAATCAGGATAATGAAATACTCCCAGTGAGTAACATTTAAAATAACAAATGAAGTCACCAACACATTGGATATACTCGAGGATTTAGATGGGGTTGTGCTGATAGGTGTGTCAGGCTAGAGGCATAAAATGTAGAGCAAGGGGGAATTTGTCATTGCCTGGGCCAGCAATTTGGACAAAGTGACTCAGCGCTGGTAAGCTGAACCGAACCTTCAGAGAGCAAGGCTGCTCTGAGCGAGACACAAGGGAGCCGAGCTGCCCCTTCCAGGGAAGGAGCCGGGGAAAGCCAAGCTGCCCCTTCCAGGGAAGGAGCCGGGGAAAGCCGAGCTGCCCCTTCCAGGGAAGGAGCCGGGGAAAGCCGAGCTGCCCCTTCCAGGGAAGGAGCCGAGGAAAGCCGAGCTGCCCCTTCCAGGGAAGGAGCCGAGGAAAGCCGAGCTGCCCCTTCCAGGGAAGGGGCCGGTGGCTCTCTCCGGCACGGGTGGAAGGGACAAGCAGAGCAGACGTGTCCCCACACGCATTGCAGCACCTGTTGAGAGCCCGGAGTAACAAACCGTGTCCGGATCCACGCTTGCCACCCGGCTCCGGGCACTGCTCACACACCAAGCCTCCTCACGGCCTGCTTTGCAAGCAGTTTATCGGGCGGGCAAGCAGGCAAAGACACAAAAGGCTGGGAGCAGGGAGGGGACGCACTGCTATTCATAGTGGCGGTCCCCACCCACGGGTGCCAGGAGCCAGACAGGGGAGCACCTTATCAGGGGCCTGGCCGAGCGGCACTCGGCGCTGTCCCAGCGCTCCATCCCCACCCGGCGCAGGGGTGAGTGCCCCGCTGACGTCAGGAGGCCTTCATTTCCTGGCACCGAATTTTCCCCGCCGTGTCCTGTGGGAGAGGAGAGGCGAGGCGGTGGAACTGGAATAGGCGTGCTCAGCCCCACCTCCCCAGCCCTCCAGCTGTTAAAGCTCCCGCAGCGGCGGGCGCGGAGCTGCTGCTCGGCCGGGACTGCGGAGCGGAGGTGTCCGGCTCCTGGTGCGCTGGGAAAGTGCCTCTCCTGGACGGAGCCTCACCGCTGCCTTCTCCAGGCAGGACCCAGAAAGGTAATTCAGGCGATGTGTTACAGGATCCAGGCTGGGCCTGCCTGCTGCAGCTGGGTTGGGATGGCTGTGCGGGACATGGGGTGCCGCAGCAACCTCAGAGTGCCTCCCGGCCGTGACTCTAGGATGGCACTGCCAGCTGGGGCTGGGCAGAGCTCCCGGGACACGACTGGAAATTTGTGGCCGAATGGGTGTATTTTATGTACAAACATCAATGAAAAAGGCGGGTCAAGTTGGAGGGAGAAGACTCCTGCTCTCTCAAGTGAGAGCTGTGATTTGGGGTGTGCTGTATAAGCTACCACAGCACAGGCTTCTTTGCACGGACTGCAGAGCCCCTTGGAATTCCTAGACACTGCTGGAGGTGCTGGATGAGCACCCAGGAGATGGGGTAGATGCTCTTCATGCCTCATCATGCTACGCAGGACATCTACCCTGGAAAAAAAGAGAAGGCAGTAAAAATGGTTGCAAGTGGCCCAGTTCTCCAAGTCAGGAAGGTTATTTCCATCCCATTTGTTCCTCCTGCTGTGGCTCTTGCAGTCAGCACTGCAGGACCCAAAGCTATGGGTGTGCTCCATGCTGTCATCAGGTCACTCACGCTGGTTCTCTGGGCTCTCCACGTGCCTCAATAGCCAGCACCAGTCTGTGAGCAGATAACCTGATCTAATCAACAGTAAATGTCTGTGGATAAAATTTTAAAATTTTCTCTCTAGATTTTCAGACATTTATTACTCAAAATTGTCCAGATAACCCAGCTATCTGTGCAAGAGATCAGAAATCTTCAAAATTTTGTGTACTTTGATTGTGAAAACTCCTTCATGTGTTATCCACTTATTCCATGTTCTCCATGGGAGTCCAAAGTTCCTGCATATTTGAATAATTTGCATTTTATTGTAGTCAGCCTTTTGAAGAGCTGCACATCTTTTACGCAGTGAGGTTAGAAGCTGGAAAAAATATTTCTCCAATTCAGTTAGAAGCAGGTCCATTGAAGTATATGTGGGGCTGGGAGTGAGTCAGTGGTATTTTCACCCTTTGTTCATCCCTTGGTTGAATCAACTAACCATTTATTAAAACCACAATCTGCACTCACTAAAATCTGCTGGAAGGGTTTGAGAACCAACTTCATGAGTGCAGTATGTTGTTCTGGAGCAGGGAAATTAAGGCAAATGGCACAGTGAGCGCTAAAGTCTGCATTTTGCAAGGTTGATTTTTTTTTTTTTTTCTATTAGAAAGCCTATTTTTCCAGTGTGGGTCACCATTTAGGACTGGTTGCTCTTGTTTCATTGTGATACTGTATCTAAACTCCTCTTTTGATAGATTTTAGAGACTCAAGCCTAAGTGAGGAATTTAGTGTTTCGAAAGCAGTACCTGGCCCCTGGGGTCTAAACTCCCTCTGTGCATGCATAATGGGCCATAATGTGCCAGCGGCCCCCCCACCCCGTGCTGTGGTTTCTGCATATGATTCAAGCTCCCAAGAAAGTAGGGGATTTAATTCCCCTGAACAGCCCACTTAAGCTCTCCTATCCCCTGGGAGACAGGCTTGCTCAGACAGCACTGAAGTCCTTAAGATGAGACAGCAGGAGTGTGTTAGGGACCTTGGCATCGTTGGCTTGTGGACTCCTCAGCAGTGACTTGGTAACTTCTCACACAATGAGCAGCACTTGGCTCTGGTGTGTCAGGCCTCTCGTCAGTGCAAGGCAGTGTCTTGGGGAGGAGACTGGTCATTGAGACATCCCTATTGCTACACTGCTGTGAAGAAGGAGAGATATGAGTTCAGGGCTAGTGGTTGGTGGCCTGTATTTGCTGTTGAATTTGGACTAAGAAGGGCTGTGCTGCAGGCATCCGGATTAGTTATCTGCAAGGTAAAAGGTGTTAAAGTTCCCCCTTCATTCATAATGGTAAACCAAAGCTGAAAGTGCCTCAGAGAATGTAAAAGGGGGAAAATGAATGTAAAAGAGAACAATGAGTTTCCTGTTCTGCATTGTTCATGTCTGAATCTCCCTGGTACAAGGTACTGATGTTGTTTGAACTTGTCAGAGGAGTGTAAATTGCATTATGACTACAGCTGCTCTTGTATCACAGAAATGACAAGGCAGTTCAGTCTGCACTGCAGGGCACCAAGCAAGTGCCCTTTCCAGTACCTCACCTTCTCCCTGCTCCCCACACTCCTAAATGTTGCACAACATCAGGCACAGTGCAGAGGCCATGCAAGGTGAATTGCCTCCTCCTGAGGGGCTTGGCTTGCCTTGGTGGAGAGCCACTGCCAAACCTTGAGGTGACTCTGCTGCCATTGCCCCATGTCCTTAGCACTGTGGTGTCCTTGCCCAGCGAGGTGGGGATGGAGGTCTGTCCTGCCTCTCCTTCCCTGCTGTTGACAGCCTGTGCTTTCTCTTTTTCTACAGCTTTGGAGAGGTTGTTCAAGAAGGCAAGAGGATGACAACGTCACCTCCCCCGGGCTGCGGCAGCATCGGTGCCGACTACCACCTGCTCTGTGACACAGAGAAGGCCTGGGGGATTGTCCTGGAGTCGCTGGCTGCAGCAGGCATCCTCATCACCATTTTCCTCATCTGCTCGCTCTTCTTCCTCATCTGCAAAGTGCAAGACAACAGCAAGCGGCACATGATCTCCGTCTATTTTTTCTTTCTTTTAGGCACGCTCGGTGTTTTTGGCCTCACTTTTGCCTTCATCATTAAACTCAATGAGAGGACTCGTCCCACTCGCTTCTTCCTGTTTGGGGTCATCTTTGCCCTCTGCTTCTCGTGCCTCCTCACCCATGCCTGCAACCTCAACAAACTAGTGAGAGGAAGAAAGCCCTTCTCCTGGCGGGTGCTGCTGCTCTTCCTTGTTTCCTTTGCCCTGGTACAAGTTGTGATCAGCATCGAGTACTTGGTCACCATGTTTGTAAACCAGAGAGAAGAATTCCTGCAAATGGGTCGGGACAATACCAACAAGGACTTTGTTATGCTTCTGATCTACGTGCTCTTCCTGATGGCTCTGACCTTCTTGGTTTCCATGTTCACATTCTGTGGGCCATATAAAAGCTGGAAGAGGCACGGGGCACACATCTTTGTCACTGTCCTGTTCTCCATTGCCATTTGGGTGGTGTGGATCACTATGCTCATAAAAGGCAACACGGTTTTAGAAAAATACATGTGGGATGATCCTGTTGTGGCCATTGCTCTGGTGTCCAATGGCTGGATTTTCCTGATAATGTATATTGTCCCCGAAATTTGTTTCCTCACCTCTCCTCTGAAGCTAGAGGACTACCCTCCAGAAAATGACTTCTGCCAACCCAAGTTCATAAAGCAGACAACTGGAGTGGACAACCGTGCCTACACCCAAGATGAAATTGTGCAAGGTATGGTGAAGTGGATGACTCCACTGCCCCCCAGCCCTAAGCACACAAGCACCACTCATGACCTAAAAGAGGTGGGAGAGCTGCAAGAAAAGATTTGAAGATGATAGATAAATGAGAGGGTAGGAAGAAGTTTCAGACTGATGAAACTTTGGAAATGCCCATGAAAATTAATCTCCAGACATGAGGGAAATGAGTGAAGACTAATGCAAAGTAATGTGTAGGAGCAGTGGCTGAGTAGGAGACTTGCTGCATGTCAGGGCTGAAATGTAACTCATTATGACCCTGCTATGTCTGGGAAGTCCATGTTGAAAATCAGAAGGGTTTTTTTGTCTCTTAGTGATGCATCAGCTCTTCAGGTCTATCTAGGTTATACCTTGGAGGTTATTTACTCCAATTTTGATCAGGTTCCCATATCCATGTAAGAATGTCATCCAAAAAGGAGGCAAGGAGGTCTTTCTTTTCTGTATTAATCTTTTGCCTACTTGGACAAAGCAAAATGTTTCTATCAGTTGAGGTTTCCCAAACCTGTGGGTAGGAGATGTGATTCCTCTGGGTGTGTATTTGCTCCTGGTAACACATTTATCACCTGGAGTCATACCCCCAGGTTTGTGAGAGAATAGCCAAGAAAGGCTGTGCTCTCCCAGGGAATACCCTGAAGGGGGTCTTGTGCATACAAGTGGAAGGGATTTGGCTGGTGGTGGTGACAGTAATTGTGAGGCAATGGGAGGTGTCTAAACTCCAAGGCCACCTGCGTCCTGTTATTTGTAATACCATTCATTCCTGCTTTCAGAAGGAAATATTTAATGTCCTCCACCTACGGATTTTAGCCCATTCCTGCCTGCACACTTCACAGTTAGACCAGTCTAAAAGGAGCTGCTCATGTAGCCACAGACTCTCTGAGTCTCCCTTGATGTGGTATTTCTGAGCTACTGTGTAATGCTAATGCACTAACTTTCCCCTGCCTTTGTCTTGTGACACAGGAAATGTCAACTACTCCCCGTACGCTTCTCACTTTCAGATGAAGGTAAGTTCCTGCCACTGTCACCCCTTTCACCACATGCAGGCTACTGTTCAGGTGCTGGAAGGAAGGGAAGGAGAAGGGGCAAAGACAGATGGGCCTAGAGCAGGCTCTGTGAAGGCAGGCCTGTGCTTTGCATGGAGCCAAGTGCTTCTGTGCCATGTTCATGGAGGTGCCTGTGGCTGGGAGGAAAGAAAGAGTTATGACATGTCCAGGGACATGGGAAGGCAAGAGGGGCCCAATGTAAAGAGGTTATGGTTTTCAGTACTTTAGAATTTGGTACCACATAAGAAGTCCTCTATTCAAGCACAGTTCCTACAGTAGACTGTGCCCTTTCCTAGGAAAGTGTGCTTATTTCCTCAGCCCATGCCCTGAATGTATTCCCATCAGTGCAGATCCAGAGCAGGCAGTCTGTATGTCCATCTGTCCATTCACCAGTCCTCCTTCAGACCACAGCCTAGCCAGGTCTAGAAGCTCACATCATGTTCCCACATGTCCTCTGGTGACCTGTCTCCATCATTAATTTGTTCTGCCAGGATCCTCTTCCACAGCCTTATTGGTCACATTCAGGAAACCTTCAGCTCTTGTTTCTCCCTTCCTTCCTTTGTTTTTTTTAATAAGCCTTGTTTTATTACTTCTGTCCAGTTTTCAAAGGTAAAGACTTCTGTGCTTCTTTTTCAGGCCATTGAACCCCAGAACGATTTCTCCATCCCTCGCCCCAAGGCCCGGACAAGCCCATACCATGACTACACTGGTGGGAAGAGCCCCATGTAGCAGCTCCACAGTGAGCAGAGACTGAGTGCCCCTCAGCAGAGGCACAGGGAATGGGCCACATGGTGACAAAGGAGATGATCCTGCAGAAGAGTCAACCCACATCAGCAAAAAAGGAGAGGGATCCTCTTTCCCCCACACAGGCACCTTTGTACCTCCCTGTTATTCTTCAGACACATCTTTCAGACACAGCCCTGGCCATCCTGTCCCTGCTCACTCTGTCTCCATGGAATGGAGCTTCTCTCTTCTGATGGAGGAGCACTCTGGCCTATTTCCAGCAGGAATGCTAGAGAAGCAGGAAGATCATCAGCTGGGTCTGTGACTGGCTTTGCCCCAGACAGGACCTGCTTTAATCAGCTCATGGGGGTGCCTGCACCCCTCATCTGATGGGAGAAGAGGAAGGAGCAGGAGCATCAGCCCTACACATTCCTTCCTCCTGTATACCCACACAGACATCTCAGGTACTACTGAGGACATCTTTATCTATCCCCTGTTACTTTTGTGCCTACTCCCAGCCCTGCCTGGCTGTCCTCCAGAGATCAGTGAAGAAGAGACAGAGACAGAAAAAGAATACTCCATTTTTCATCTTCATATTTGCTTCCAGCATCTTCCTTATCATCTAGGAGCCATGCTGGAGCTGGGGAAGAAAACTTAAAGGCATAAAACCATCTACACCAATTTACCCTGACACATGTTCCAGTTCATGCTCTAAAAGCTTCCTTTCCAGCTCTGGCTCCTGCCCATGTGCCTTAGCTGAGCTCCCCAAGGTGCCTGCCCCCTGAAAACTCTGCCTCCCCACCCCAGCCATTCCAGGCTGTGGATCCCTCTCCCATGTGGCTCCTTGCAATACCCTGGTGGGATATAATCCTGTGAGCCCTGGATCTCAGCCTCTTCCTGAGTGTGTCTGTGGCATTTACACAAACATTTCCCAAGCAGCCAGGTTACAGAGGGCAGACACCCTTCTTCCCATGCATGAGTGAGCAAAAGTGTGTGTGTGCATGTGTGTGATGTGTGGACTGCACCCTGGTGATGAGCAATGAGTCTGCAGAGTTGAATCATTCTGTAACCTGCTTTGCATTTGATAAATAGCTTTCCATGGTATTTCATCTGTAACTACAGAGAGCTCTCCAAGTGGGTGTGTGTGGTACACTGGCGTCTGACACAGCTGTATATTTATTTAGTACTTTGTATATGGACTGTTTAATTAATAAAAACCCAAACAGCCTGTCTATGAGAAACTGCTGTTCTTCCTTGGGAATGTGATTCCTGTCATGGCTGGTGGGGTGGCAGCAATAGCTCTCCATGGGTTGGAGTGGGCCAGCTCTGGGAGGTTGCACTTAGGGGAAAATGGCAGAGAGGTGCTGCTTTGAAGCTCTCATTGTGGCCCAAAGATCAGCTGCTTGAGGGTGCAGAAGAAGGGTTAGTAGCTTCTCCATGCTATTTTTCTTGAATAAAGTTGATTTAATGTTAGGAGTGCTTAAGAAATGAGGAAATAAAAATCCAAGCCACAGCAAGCAAATGCCAGAGGAAAGATGTGAACTTTTCATCACTGTGCATGTCTGTGTCTGCTGTGTCAATACTCCTGTATTTATTCACTTGTCTCTTGTTGGGTACTTGCATGATCAAGAATAGGAAAGGAGCTTGTAGGTATGTAATTCAGTTTGTAAAAAGATATCTTTCTGAATACATGTAATATTTTTATTTGAAAGTAGAAACAATATCAAAGCAAAATCATATCAGTGAAGATGATAATAATTTTTAAACCTCCTGATAGTATGAGGCTGTAATTTCCCTTTTTAGAGAATACTCTCTGATGAGATTCTACATGGTGTGTCATGCCACCACATACCCTTATGCTTGGCAAGTAACCCCCTGCCTCAGGCACAGTGAATCAGGCAGCCTGGGTCTTCCCCACTCTGCCCACCAGCACTGAAGGGCAGCACAAGGACATCTGAGGCTTTTGAATCCCTTGGCATGAGACAGATGCCTCCTAAGGATTGATTTTTAAATGTATCACAGCAGAACTTGCCTTTTTCTAGTAAATTTGAGGTGGAAATGATGCTAACCATCCCTCCTCCTCTCTCTTCCACCTACACAGTCCTCAGGTGTAACACAGGAAGAGGGACAAAACTCAAGGATGCTAATATAATATTGGAGAGCAGGCTGGGAAAAGGGTTTGTGAAGCCATGATGAAACTTGTTGACTTGCAGACTGAAGGTAGGAGGGATATGCTTGAAACAGCACCTAACTTTCAAGAAATTAGTTTTTCAAGCAGATGTGGTGTCACTGTTAACTTTAGTATGTCCCAGGATGATTCAAAAATATGTTGAAGGAGAGGCAGCTCCTCAGCTTCAGTGGAGCCTGGTGGAGCAAAGGAGCAGGCTAACAGGAGAAACAGGAGTGAAGTGTGCTCTTACCATGTGTTTTCCATATCCCAGACACTTGCCAACTCCTTCACTAAACCTCCCAGTGTGCCTTGGCCCCAGAGGCAGCAGAACTAGGCGGGATGAGAGACACCCTATGCACTCCCATTGATTCAGGGCATGGCGATTTTCTTGATTATTTGGTTGTTGCTGTGCATGCTGCTTGGCAGAGAAGGAAAATCTCCTTCCATGGATTTAAGAGTGCCTTTTAGAGTAATTTTTTAAACCTCTGTGATGACACAAATACTAATCTGCCCAGAGTTATTTTGCACTTGTTTGATACTAAGGCAGCTTTGTGTGAGAGCTCATTGAAATGCCAAAATAAACATGAGTTTCTGTGGAACTTTGCACTGCTGGGTAAGGGGTGCTGCTGTGCTGCAGGCTTCTCACACCTCAGGAGAGACTTCTGGAAAAGCAGCAGTTTCCTCTCTCCTTATAATTGAGCTTAAACCAAACCAGCTGCCGCTTAGTCACAAACACACAGCCCAGGGAAATCCTAAACTGGTTGGGCCAGACAGACTAGACCCAAAAGGAACAAGTGAGTTGAGGAGGCAGGATCCTCGTGCAGTTTCTTCTGAAAACCTGCTCACTGGGAGGCCTGTAAGCCCAGTCAGGCTCATCCCTATCCCTATCCCTCTCCCTTGCTGGTGGTGCTTGCAGGTGCTCTGCCTTCAGGGCCCTCTGCTTTCCTGTCCCTCCTCTCCCTGTTGAAGGAGACCAGAGAGCCAGAAATGTACACACCAGAGCAGGGTTGGCACAGAGCACACCTGGATTATGAAAGCAGCCAGGATTATCAGGAGGCAGGATAAACTGCTGAACTTCAGGTCAGGGGTGTCATGGGAAAAGAGCAAAAAAGGACAAAAACACTGTTTGGTCCCAGGACCTTCAGGGTCACCATCCCATGGCCTTGCCAGGGCTGCAGGGCTCCACGTGCCTGGGCAGGAGTGAACCGGAGGGTGCAATAAACCCTTGGAGCACAGCCCCATGCCAGTGGGGACACAACTTGGAATGGGGAGGAGCCTTGCTGGGGTCACCTCCCAAGTGCTCCCTGTCCCTTCTGGCAGCTGGTGCCAGTGCCACCCTCCCTAAACAAGATTTTTCTTTGAGAGGGATTCACCCTCTTCCTACAAGTCCTGTAGTCCTTGGTGTGGCACAGGGGTCATGAATCCCTCTTCCTCAGCTGGGGCTGCTTTCTCCAGGCTCAGGGGGCCAGGTGATCACTTTAATCAGATCTGCTCCCCAAGGAACAGAATCACAGGGCCACAACTTGTGACAGCTTTTGGTCCAAGTCTGCATGTTGCTCCTTGGCCAAAGGTGACTGACTGTCTCACAGCAGGGCTGACAGCACAGGTGGTGTGTCCAGTGCCCAGTTACAGCAGTCACCTCCTCCCATACTAACCTTACATTGTAGGTTGCAGTGTTCTCATCACACTGGACCAGAACCAGAGGTAGCTGAAGAGGAGCAATGCCTCCCATTTCCCTGTCCCTGACAGAGGCAAAGTGAGCAGCTGGGAGCAGCCTCCTTCAGCCGTCCCTGGCAGCTGCACTACAGCCTGTGAGCAGCACCTAGAGGGCAACAACACTCGGGAGCAAGAGACAGCATTCAGCCCGCCCTACACTTCCCCTTACACTCTGTTCTTACACACACACTCCCCAGGGAGGGACCGATTTTGCAGCTTCTTAAAGACAAGAGCTCAAAAAGCTGCCATTGTGAAAGTCGTGTGTGAGTAATACATGGGATGCCTCTTGCTCTATTCTGCCCCAAGCAGAATATTCTGCTCCCTTTAAAGTGTAAGCTGACAGAACATGCAGGGAGCTGGTGGTTCTGAGAATCCACAGAGTTCTTCCTTGTTTCCAGCTCTTTCCTACATTTTAGTAGGTTTAGTGGTACTATAGAGTCACTCAATGGTTTTGTTCAGGTGGGACATCTGGAGAGGTCCAGTCCAGCTTCTGCCCTGAACAAAGTTCATCTCCAAGACCAGTTTGAGGTAAGCTTTGAATATCTCCAAAGGCAGAGATCACACAGTTTTTTGGGGTCCCTATGCTGATGTCTGACTGCTCTCCTTGGGACTTTTTAAAAAACCTGTGTCTAATCAGAATTTCCATTCTTGCAACTCCTCTGTCATCCTTTGACCTTTCACTGTGCACGTCTGAGAGAAGTCTGGTCCCATCTTCTCCATAGCACCCATGTAGTTAATGGACAAGAGCTGCTGGATCCCCCTTAGCCTTTCCTCTGATGACTAAGCAGGTCCCTCAGTCTTTCCCCCTGGTGACATGGTCCAAGCACCTCCCAAAGGTCTCAGCAGCTCCCCTGCCAGACTTGCTCCCCTTGTTCAAGCTCTGTGGCAATGAGAGACCCAAACTGGACACAGTACTCCAGATAGAACCTCCTGAGCACTAAATAAAAGGGAATAACCAATTCCCTCACCTTGCTGACTCAACCCTTACTCAGACAGCCTGGTATGTTGTTGGTGTACATTGCCATAAGTGTTCATTGCTGGACAATGCCTTCTTCAAGCTCATTTTCCCCAGCACCAGCTACTCCCTTTGCCCTGGAGGAGCTTGTGTGGGTTACAAATAGAAGGGACTGAACAGTCCTGAGCTTCCCTCTGTAAGGCAGGTGGTTTTTGGCCGGAGCCAGAAATAGCACCCAAGGCCACTGAGCTGAGCGCTGCAGTGGCAGCTGCCTCTCCTAGGAGGAAGCCCTGGAGAAGG